CTACAAACCCGTTGAGAAAATATCTGGTTGACAAGTTTTTGGAACAGCATTGTCACAACTTGTTAACAAGCTTGCTACAAACCCGTTGAGAAAATATCTTGTTGACAAGTTGTTGGAACAACATTGTCACAACTTGTTAACAAGCTTGCTACAAGCCTGTTGAGGACATAACTTGTTAACAAGTTGTTAGAACAGCATTGTCAGAACTTGTTAAGAAGATTGCCACAAGCCCGTTAAGGAGACATCTTGTTGACAAGTTGTTGGAACAGCATTCTCACAACTTGTTGTCAAACTTGCTACAAGTCTGTTAAGGAGATATCTTGTTGAGAAGTTGTTGGAACAGCATTGTCACAAGTTGTTATCAAGATTGCTACAAGCCTGTTGAGGAGACACCTTGTTGACAAGTTGTTGGAAGAGCATTCTCACAGCTTGTTATCAAGCTTGCTACAAGTCTGTTGAGGAAAGCATCTTGTTGACAAGTTGTTGGAACAGCATTGTCACAACTTGTCAACACGCTTGCTACAAGCCTGTTGAGGAGACATCTTGTTGACAAGTTGTTGGAACAGCATTATCACGACGTGTTAACAAGGTTGCTGCAAGTCTGTTGAGGAGATATCTTGTTGAGAAATTGTTGGAACAGCATTGTCACAACTTTTTAACAAGCTTGCTACAAGCCTGTTGAGGAGACATCTTGTTGACAAGTTAGTGGAACAGCATTCTCACAACTTGTTATCAAGCTTGCTACAATTGAGTTGAAGAGACATCCTGTTGGCAAGTTGTTGGAACAGCAATGTCACAACTTGTTAACACGCTTGCTACAAGCCTGTGCCTGTTGAGGAAAGCATCTTGTTGACAAGTTGTTGGAACAGCATTGTCACAACTTGTTTACAAGCTTGCTACAAGCCTGTTGAGGATAAATCTTGTTGACAAGTTGTTGGAACAGCATTATCACAACTTGTTAACAAGCTTGCTACAAGTCTGTTGAGGAAGCATCTTGTTGACAAGTTGTTGGAACAACATTGTCACAACTTGTTAACAGGCTTGCTACAAGTCTGTTGAGGAAGCATCTTGTTGACAAGTTGTTGGAACAGCATTGTCACAACTTATGCTATATCATTGCGTTTCCATTGCTTTCGCAGGGGAAAACTGGAAAGACAGTCGTGGCGAAGCGAAATCTTCACTGCATGTATTGAATCCGTTTGGATTAAACATCCAACTTTACAAATGTCTCGCTGCTGATGACGTCAGACTAACACAGTAAGTTAACACGTGACCGAGATGATGTAATAGATTATGAAAGTGATCGTATTTGATTATGTTTAGCATATTTATTTGTGAAACCTTGTAAAACTGTAGTGTCTTTTTATTGTTTTGAAAATCCCACTGTTCTCCATGCCACCTAGTCACAATCCGGTGATCAGAATGTTCCATTTTCTTTTCAGGATCCGTCTAGCTGGTGTCCTCTCCACTTTGCAACTTCATGTTACTGATAAAAGATTGGACGATTTGATGAAGGTAACAAGATGATAGAGAAGTAAATCTTGCATTTAAACATCATTAATAATTCATAAGCTTATTGGCAAATAATGTCAACCATAATATGTCACGTACAGTGGCTTTAAACCTGATAAAACACTCCTAATTATAGTATTCTTTATATAAAGAATACTAATAAGGCAGTATCTATTGTAGTCGTGTCCTCATTAGTATTCTTTATATAAAGAATTAGTATTCTTTATATAAAGAATATTAACAGGACAGTATATGTATTGAATTTGTAGTCCTGTTTAAAGCCGTTTAATAAACTCGCATATCGTGTTTTAAACACTCCTGCTCGTTTATTAAACAGTATTTCAAATGATTTTTACACGGTAGCCTATTCAGTGGAATGTTACAACCTCGATTTCATTGGCCCATGTTGGGATACGATATTATTAAAACAAAAAAATTAAAATGCTAATCTGATCATAATAACATGACTTACGTACTTGAGAATGGGATCTTGCAGGAGAAACTCCTCTCTAAAATCCTCACTCCTCACTTAATGCTTCTCTCTTTAGCTTGCTTTATCAATCCCAATACCCGGTGAGCAAGACCCTGCCACACCCGCGAAAACCAAAACGACATCTATTCAACGTGAAGTAAAGCCCGTAGTGAACGTATCTCCTTTGGACGTGGCGGTTCAAGAAGCGATCAAATCAGAAACTTCGGAAGATGTTTTTAAAACTCCACCGGAATCTCCAGAGAATAGCGGCGATGATATACGGTAATAATTTATAAGCCCTGGAAATATTTTTTTATTTTACAACTTTGCGAATATCAAATATAAACTAACTATAAATTACACATAATTGCTGGAATGACCACACAGAGAAAAACTCCAATAACGGGGTTCCACAACATACATAAGCATAACATTAACTTACACTATGGCGTGACAGATATTGGACATACTAATAAACAGATAAACAGATTAACAGCTAGGCCGCAAATTCAAACAAACAAACAAAGACAAACGACATGTTGATACCGTTTTCGCTACATGAGATCCTCATTGAAATTCTGGGCTCGTGAATGAAATATTTGAGTAATTTGAAGCTGTTAAGATTGTTTATGTATATCGAGAAAGCTATATTAAAATTTTAATCACTGCCTTCCCTATCACGCACACCGTTCACAACCATGAATGAGAGTTGGCAGTCCTGTATCGTTACAGGGGACATTTCAAGCTCTAGATGGACAAAATAAAAGTTTGATGAGTGTTCCAACTATGTTTTAACTTCAATATAATACATGATAATGTTGGAAAAGCATTAAGAACAGCTAACCAAGATCGCGTGACTACTGTACCAACTCTCATGCACTTTCGTTCTCGTTTCATCCTGGGCCAAACTTGGTTTTTACCGGATATAGTTTCATCCCTTCGGTATGAACTGTTAAATTTAAATCATACTACTGTCAATGCATGTTTCGAGGTGAAAGGTCACATAGGCGGTTAGAGCGCATGTGCTAACCAATGCGCTATCAATACAGGATAAAGTGACTAAACTATGTGTTTCACTCTAGGATCCAGTCTGGCGAGGACGAAGAAGCATTGAAGTTAGCGAAAGCAGAACAGACAAATGTTGCCGTCAAATTTGAAATCGGCCAGGTAAAGATGTTTCTTAAATAAACTTTATTTGCAAACTTCAGCATTTCTGACAAGTTTTGAGATTTTTACGTGTGTGCGTCAGGAACCGGTTCTACGAAAAGTTTGTGTGTTTCTGTGTAGATTAACGTTACAGTATCATCTCAAGATCAGTTCGGTATTGAATCTCCACTTCTTGAAGTAGACTTGCTCAGACTTGGTACCCAGGTCTCCGTGCGGCAATATGATCTCACGGTCATGGCTAATATCGGTGATATTTCGGTCAAAGAAATGATTCATGGTATTGATGGAGTTCCACTGGAGCTGGTCAGCACTCCAGCTGATCTTGATATCCTCGCTGTTAAATTTGTTCAGGTAACTGCAGAATATGTGACTTAATTTTCGATAACTAAACTACCTTTATTTATACTGGTAGTTCTAAACAGTTCTTCCTATCAGTTCTAAACTGTTCTTCCTAGAGGTCTAGTAAGGGTCATCTCTTATTGATCCAGTGTTACTACAGGAGGCCCGGAAACCTAAACTCTTTATTTATGCTGGATAACTCTATCAGTTCTAAACTGTTCTATCTAGAGGTCCAGTAAGGATCATCTCTTATTGATCCAGTGTTACTACAGGAGGTAACCTAAACTAAACTAACTTTATCTGTACTGGATAGGTCTATCAGTTCTAAACTGTTCTTCTTGAGTTCCAGTAAGGGTCATCTCTTATTGATCCAGTGTTACTGCAGGAGGAAACCTAAAGTTAAACTAACTTTATTTATGCTGGATAACTCTATCAGTTCTAAACTGTTCTTCATAGAGGTCCAGTAAGGATCATCTCTTATTGATCCAGTGTTACTACAGGAGGAAACCTAAACTAAACTAACTTTATTTATACTTGATAACTCTAGCAATTCTAAAGTTCCAAATTTGAAAGCTAAGCACTGTGCCACTAATATATTTATACATTTTATTTCTTACAATTTTAGGCAGACAAAAGTCATCCTCGATTCAAGGAAGCTTTTAACTTAACAGAAAAAGCAATTGATGTTCAGTTCGCTTCTCTCAAAGTTGTTTTACATCAGGAAGCCTTGTTGAATTTGATGGAATTCGCAAATAGCCTTTTACCAGCGAGGTTTGTTGTCTGCTGTTGTTTCTGTCTGACAACTTGTATACAGTGTGTTTTTCTTGCCTGAGTTTGTCCAGACTGGGTCAACCGTCTCTAGTGTACATCAGAATATCCACTAACTAAACCCAAACATTTTTCTTAGTGAGGAAGAAATACAGCCACAACAACAACAGGAAGAGTTGGAAGGAAGTTCTGACAAGAGTCAAGATAAAACAGACGAAGAGAAGAAAGCTTTAGCAAAAAAGAAAACTCAAGAGGATGAAGTGATTGAAGTCAAAGTGGATGCACGCCTGGGAGAGTTCACTGCTGTTATAACTTCAATGAAAGGAGACGTTGCGCACTTGCAAATGAAACGTACGGCTTTCTTTTAAGTCCAGTACATGCTATGCCTTAAGCTACGTACTTTTTAGCCCCCGTCGGGTGTTTGGGTATCAATTTCCCGTTTGTACTCTAAAATGACTGAAAATTGCAAACTTCGCAAGGCTATATTATCCGCATTTTACAACATTTCGTAACGAAACTTTGGAATATTACTAATTTTGTGATGCTCTTTCAAGCTGTGATGAAATTTTTGTCTAGACTTGTCTAGATCAAAATTTTAGTTATAAGGTTAAAGGTCCATAACAGGCCAGTAATACTTTACAATTATAGCCACAGACCTGGCTATAAGGTGTCGCCGAACAGGCGTACTTTACAGCCACGAACGGCAGTATAAGGGGCCGATTACATGGAGCATTTTCAACCCCGGGGTTGAACTCAGCCCTGTTCACCGGGTTGAAATTTCAACCGTGTCTGTAATACAAAACTCTATCAAAATCAAACGCGCGATTACATGACAAAATTTTCAACCCAGGGCTGAGTTCAACCCCGGGGTTGAAATTTCAACCCTGTCTGTAATACAAAACTCTATCAAAAAATCAAACGCGCGATTACATGACAAAATTTTCAACCCAGGGCTGAAATTATCATGAGTTATTCGAGCATGCGTGGTAGTGACTATTTATTACA